AAGAAACATCAGCACACACATGAATATTAGCACCGCTGTCCATCCACCACTCAGGTGAAAGACAAACTGAAAGAACAAAAGGTAAAGAATTACTATACCCAGATGTTCCTTCTTCAGTCTCGCTAATCACCATGTTTGCTGATTTCTTTTCTTACTTATATTTGCGGTCTGGGCACGCACTTGCCCAATGTTCATCACTCCCACAAACAAAGCAACCTCCATCTTTCTTGTTGTTTTTCTTCTTAAACTGTGCAGTTTCCTTAGACTTTGTATTGTTGTTCTCTTGCATGTTCTTCTTCTTTTTATTACGGGATGCAAATGAGTTTTTCTTCTGCACCATATTGGTAGCGGAAGACTCAACTCATTTTTCATGGTTGTCTTTTGCTCTCGCTCTCTCCTCAACATTAAGAGATCCAATAAGCTCAGCCATGCTAAACTCTTGTCTCTTGTGTTTTAGAGAAGTAGCAAAATCCCTCCAAAAAGGTGTCAGCTTAGCGATTATACCGCCGGCCACAAACTTGTCGGGCAACATGCATGGAAAATGTTCCAGTTCCTTTGCTGGTGCCTGTATCTCATGAGCTTGTTCCACTACAGAATGGTTTTCAACCATTTTGTAGTCATACAGCTGCTCCATAAGGTACAACTCACTACTAGCATCAGAAACTCCAAACTTTGCCTCAAGAGCATCCCATAACTCTTTGCCTGATCTGCAAGATATGTAGTTTTTCTCATACTTAGGATGAAGTGCACTATAATCATGGCGCCTTGAAACAGGTTATCGGCAGCCAAGAACTTTTGCTCCTCCTCAGGAGTAAATTGTTCAGGCTTTCTCTGTGCGGCGTGATAGCAGTTCATCGCAGTCAACCACAATACCATCTTGGCACGTTATATCATGAAATTCTTGCCATCAAAATTATTTGGCTTCAAAGCAGCAGCAAAACCACTGACAGAAAATTGCCTAAGATTAGGTTTTTGGATTATTAGATAATTAGGCATTTTCATGGTCAATTTAATCCAGAAATATAACATCAGCAGGTTCGTGGCGACATATATGTGCATGTGTATATTAGTAACAAACGCTATAGCATGCAAACATGACATACAGATCGATATAGTAAGAACGCAAAGTGCGGTAATCACAAAGATAAGATTGTACCCAGCGGAGGGTCCCATGTCGAGAGCATCGGAGGCTCCATTCGCACTAGGCGACATAGTGCGTTGCTCGAAGTCGTGGACCACAGTCGATGCAGGACGGTGTTCGCAGTGTAGTCCCACGAACGAATCACCCGAAAGAAGACGGGTTCCGCGAGCGATCACTAGGAAGAAGACGTCGAACGAGCAGTCGCGGAATCGCTCCCCAAAAACCTAATCGCCGCACACCCCGTGCAAGGTTCACAGGCGAACGAGGGTTCCGGAGGTACCTGCTCTCCCGCTGCTCCGTGCGCGCAGAGTATGGGGAGGGAGAAAGGCAGCGGAGGATCCTAGGAGACAGAGACAGCGGAGAGACGGTAACTGGCGCAATCAGTTCGCCTCCACCATAAAGGAGAGAAATTCTCGTGGTTACGTGGATTAAGTGGCAAAATCTGGCCACGCCCGCCCGCTCGCCGTCGGCCTGCCTGCCTCGCCACGGCCCGGCCCGGCGGCGGTGCGCGCGCGTGTGGCACTCCTTTGTCCTTTTCTCAGCTTCTCAATTGAGATGGATAATTTTCAACCAAATAAATTGAGTAATCGTTCAGTCAAAATCTCATACGGTATTAAACCATACAACGCTTAATATTACGTACCATAGAGTTTTATTTGTTTTATTAAATATTATACGGGCCAAGCCCATAATAGGCCCGTTCGTTTGGAGGAATCTGGATGAATCTAGAGAAATTTGTGAGAATGTGAACAGTGAATTTCAGCTCAGCACAGTGAATGCCGGCTGGTATTCATACCAGCCGAACTGCCCCAATATATCCAACAGTATTGACCACGATGAAGATGATTATCAAGAATGCATGATGGGTTATTACAGCATAATGTGCAGCCACATGAAGATTTACGAACCCTTGGGAGGGCCCCTAATCTCAAGGAAAGCTATTTATTTTATCATCATCTCCGACTTAAAAAAGTACTGATTAATGAATTTAATATATATTCAATATTATAGTTGCATATATATATAGGAGTAATTAGATCGGTGACATAATACAGTCCGGGCGTTCTTCAGTATTAGAGCGTACATGCATATTGATGAATCCTTCATATATACTCTTTGCATCTACATGAATAGTGTTACCATCAGGGCGGCTCTACGTGCAATCAGCATGGGCAATGCTGATAATGTCAAGTACAGCTTATGAGAAGGCCATAAATAATCACGAATATATGCGTGAATAAGTTATTAACTGCTGAAAAAACTCTAGCTGATCTAAATAATCTAGTTTTTTATAGTCCAGCTTATCACTAATTTTGACTATTCAACCACACCTAGCTTATATAAATAGTAAGATACAATTTAATCGTCTTCCTCCAGCTATTGCACCTTATAAAAAAATTAGCTGGTCCAAACCGGACCAAAGCATCGTGCCTTCAACGCTCGCAACAGTTAAATTATGAGATTAGCTAGGTATACCGTGTGTGGACTCATAATCGTCACGTTTACGTTTAGAAGGCATGTGTCGTTTAATCGAAAAAACATACATGTTGGACTTGATATTTTATATTAGAACACGCGCGCTTGCACATGATTCCGCTACTAGACAAACAATTTTGCCAAATAATACACTGTAGTTGTGGTGTTCAATGATGATAATTACGCACACGGACTGCAATGACTAGCTACCAGTAGCTTCCTCGCTTGCTTTGTACAGTAAAATAAAAGCGTTGGATTGACTTTTTTTCCTTTGTCAATTTCCCTAGGTTACCTACCTAGCTTTCAGGGTGTGTGTGTGTACCGGGAGGTGGTTTGGTAAAAAATGACGGCAGAGGGAATCAAAGGACATGGCACTTGAGTCTTGAGACTACCAAAAACTAGCTAGGGAAGAATTCAGCAGGTACACCAAAGAGGAAAACTGAAACAAAATAAGGTGCAACGTAACTTCACTGTGGAATAGGAAGAGAGACATGACAATATATCGGCTTCAAGAGAAACTGTGCGTCTGTAACTTATTATTCCATGCATGCATCATTTGTACTCCGATCCAAGATAGCAATCGTCCATACTAGGGTTTTCAATTTCAGTATTACAATTTTTTCAGTCACCCCCGAAATTCACGAAAATTCACTCAAATTTCACCAATTTTTTTAGAGACTTAAATATAAAGTATGATTTACAAAAGTTCAAACAAAGTATTAAGATGATTTATGACTACACATCTATTGAGTAGACAAAGAATATGCAACACCAACAATAGAAAATATGAGTTTACAGGTATATATTTACAACAAAGCACATATGTATTATTAGTATAATACGAAATTTTGGATTTTTTTCACACACCTCCAAAATTACACGGAATTCGACATAAATTTCATAGAAATTTTGAACCCTTTTTTCCAACAGAACCCTGGTCCACACAATTCAAAAGTGTGATGGCACACATATACATAGGATTATAACCATATATAGCTGTCAACAATTGTGAAAGTGTTAATTCAGGACTATTTAAAATGAAATTTATGACTATATACGTCTACTACAGAGTGATCAAGAGCAAACTAACAACATATACAGTGAGTATACATGTACAACTAATATACAATGACTACATGCATGTTTGGATCTACTATTATTCTACTGGAGCAAAAGGTACCAACTATATATATGTTAATTTGACTAGAGGAAAATATAATGTAGCATGTACCAATACAAACTGTCCAGTACTTCCAATTCTTTACAAACCTGTCCCCTGTGCTTGAATATGCACGAAATAGAATTTAGGGCATCATAAATTTGTATAAACTGGGGGGACACAAACTATTCATTCAATACAGTTAAAACAGGATACAGCTAGCATGATTTATAATAAAATTCACAGCGACACCACAACACATTGTTGATGAACTTGCACTGGGATAGGAATGTACCAAACAAAATCAATTAAAATCACAGCCTCTCTCTTGCTGTATGAGCAAGGTCACAGCTAGCATAGATAAATATGACATGGATGCTGAGACCATCACTCCCAACGACGATCAAATTATTTTCTCAGTTGCCCTACCACTGAAACAACAAAAAATCCATGAACGAATTTGCTTGGGTCTAGTCTCAAAAAAAAAAATTGCTTGGGTCTAGCTACGATGTACACCAAAGCACAATCCAGAGAACTCCTTTAGGGCCTTTTGGAACGTAGGAATTTCACAATATCGTGCTAAAATCAGTTTATTTTTATAGGAAAAATGCAGGAAACATGAAAAAATCTGCATTTTAAATGGGGCCTTATATTATATATACACCAACATTATTGGTTCCATTTTTACACATGGACAAAAGAAGCACCATGCCAGCACATGCACCCATCCAACAAGCACCCATGGTAGGAAAACAAGCAGAAGTGGAGGTGACATCTCTTCTGAAGTTCTGAGTTCTTTAAAAGGGAACATATTCTTGAATTTCAAACGGGAACCAGAGAAATGAAATACTCCTCTTTCAATTTTTCTCCCAAATGAGTCAATGAGGAACACATGATATACACTAGTACATGCATGTACAAGAAGTCTAGAGGCGTACATAAATAATGTTGCCCTTCTAGTGATAGTTATAAAGTACTTCGTTCCATCTCTAGTACCTCCCATGCAATCCGCGCAGCGGAGAGTTGACAAATGGAAGGGGATGAAATGCAAACAAAAGTTTAAGATGAAAGAAGATTAATCAATAATAATTGTCGTGTTCCCTCTTCATTAGACCAAGCCCAAGCACAAGGTCATCTCATCGATCAGGTAGTCACATTTGGCGCAGTATTTCGACGACAGCATGTCATGTGTCGATCTAGGCTAGCTATTTGTGCAGCTGTTAGTTATGGGTTGTTGGGCATTGTGGAAGGGAACAGGTCTTGCAAGAGGGCGTAGTCAGTGAAGTGGTGTTGCTGAAGAGGAGGAGCAGGAGATGGTGTTGACATATGAGGAGGAGGCATACTTGGCAGGAACATGTTAGGGTTTGCGCCCATGGCGGGGTGCATCATGCTCATCAGGTCAGGGCGGAAGCTGGACGGCATCAGGTGGTGCGGCGGCAGCCCGTACGCGTTTGGCATGAAGAGATGCGCGCCGCCGGCGCGGAGGCTGGCGGGGCTGTGGTGCGTGTGCTGCCCCTCGTACGTGGTGATCACCGTCGACGGGTCCTGGTACGACCGCTCCACGCGCTTCTTCACGCCGCACTTGGGCGTCGTGCACCGGTAGTAGCTCCTGCATGCGTTTGGCCGGAGATCGGGTTTGAATATACATGACAAAGTTATAAGGTACATGCATCATCATGTACTCTAGGTGAGAATTTACATACAAGTTATACAATGCATTAGATACCTTGGTTACTTGCACTTAATTAGCAATATATACGATAGCTAGATAGCTGTGTGATAGCTAGCATGCAATTATAATGACCATAGATGGGGGAACGAACAAGTGAAACTGTGAAAAAAAAAGTATACAGACCTTGGGTAAGGACTGTTCTTGACCGCCTTCTGCCCATATTTGCGCCACCGGTAGCCGTCCTCAAGGTGATCCACCTCGCTCTTGGTGAGGAAGGCAACACGAGGCTGCCTCTGCCTCTTCTCAGCCTTCTTCTTGGATTTGTTCCTGTTATGAATATATATTATGCATGTATATATCAGAAGCCAATCCAGTGCGATGATACACGAACTAATGCTAGTTAGCTCGAGCTAGAAAGAAGTAGATATTTCATGTCACGTGGACTATTAGCACCAATTATTCGAACACAAGTGCTGTAGTCTATAGTGACGTGCGTGTAGCGCGAGTATAGACGATTAGCTAGCGAGCTGTTGGGAATTGGGATCGAGCACGTCATATCCAGATTATTGGTGTTTTTGCAGAAGATACTCTAGACCTGTGGTATCAGCTTTCGATATATGGCATTTATGATCTTTAATTAAACCTTTTCTGAAAGGCGAAAAGAAATCTTTGATTTTCTCTTTAGAGATGAAGCTACTAGTAGTTGGTCAAAAATTGAAGCTGCAGCACACAAATTGTTTATTTAATTTAAAGGAAGATCTCTTCTGGAGAGTACGTAGCCAATTGAATTTTGAATAGTACCAAATGATCTAGAAAGTCATACTGGAAACGGGACCAAAAAAGGAACGGAAAGAAAAGATAAAGAAGAGGGAAAGCTAGCCTAGCTAGCTATAGTACTGTGAATCTGAAGCTGATGGATCTGAATTCTTGATGATCTATAAGAACCCTAAAGAAGCAATCGCAACAAACCCTAATGTTCACACCGTGTAGTATAGAGATATGGACATATAAAACTAGATAGGAAATTTTTTGTTCATTTAGGCAACAGTAGGACTAGATCTAACATATGCACCAAGAAGATAAGCACTCCTGACCCCCCCCAAAAAAAAAGAGAACAGAGAGAAGCACTCCTGAATTGAACCTGATGAAGAGAGATGCAAATACAATTCGAGATGATCGATGAACACACAGATTAGTAGTATCAAACTAAAGAGAACGTACGCTTTGGTGGAATTCTCCCCATCTTCCTGCTCTTTCTCATCCCCCTCCGCATCCTCAGCATTCGGCCTGCCCTTCTTGCACCGACGAGGCTGGCCGCCCTCCCCCTCCCGGTCGCTTGACGAGAGAGACACCGACGAGTTCGGCGTGAGCATCGCCGCCCCTTCTCCTGGCGCGCCGCTGGTGCCCTGGCTATCGTGGCTCACATCCACAGACAGCTCGTGCTTGATCGGGGCGTCCTCCGCCGGGCACGGCGCGTCCAGGTGCCGAGCTAGCCCGGAGGGGTCCTGCAGGAACCCCTGTAGGTAGTCGGTGATGCTGGAGTACGGCGGCATGAGCTCGTCGGCGGCGCCAGCTCTGCTGCCTGATCCATCGACGCCCGCCGACGACGCCGGCTGATTGAAGAAGAAGCTCTCCATGTCGTTGCTGCTGTGGAACACGTACTCGGCGCCGGCGCCGGCGTCGGCGTCGGCGCGGGCGAGGTGGCCGTAGCCATGCTGGTGGTAGACGCCATGGTGATCTCCTGCTCCGCCACTTCCTCCTCCACCAGAAGACATGGGGAGTGGGGGGAGTCTGCTGGGGAGCTAAGTGTGGAAAGGGAAGGAGAGGCGTGGAAGTGAGGAGGGTTTGAGCTTTTCAGCAGGTCGCCTCAAGCTCCCAGTCCCAGCCAGCAGCTCCCTTTTGATTTATTTATGTTTTGTTTTTCTCCGGGTGCAAAAGCGTGCGAGGATAGGCGCAAGATACGACTTTTTTGGAGCGGCATATATAAATTTCTGGGTGCGGTGGTCTGGTGATCACGATCAATTTATAATGCAGCCCGTCAATTCATAATGTGAATGACGTACGTATTACCTTATATGAAATAATAAATCGGCGTGCTTAATTAGATTCTTTCTTGCATGTGATCATCATCTGTGAACGGTGCACTTAATAAGACCGGTGTCAGCATAAACTGTTGGCCCCCTCTGTACTATGATTCTTGAGGTTCCATTCTGGGCGTTGAACAACTGTTGCTGATTTTTATTGTTAAAAAAACTGTTACTGGTTTATTACCGTCCGGCCCATTGGTACGTCATTTCGGAGAGAATTGCAGTCTCATGTGCAATGTACTAAAAATATGTACTCGGCCTGATGTTTCGTCTAACGCTTAATTATCATGCGTATGTACCTTATTTGGTCCAGTGTCGTCCTAGAGTGCGTTCAGAGTTTTTTTTACCTTTGATCACTATAGCTACTTGGACAAAGTGACTGCTTGTATTAACTGCTAACCTTCTGCTCTGGGATTGAGTGAACGAAACTTTCTCCCATCATCAACCCAGTATGGATCTTGAAGCCATAGTTTGACGGTATAGATAATACAGGACGTGTCAACTGTGTCTGGTGATCATTGATAGAACGACGTTCATTATTTGCCCCATAGAGACGTCCGCTACTTGTGTATCGTCATATTTTTGATAATTTGCCACCTCTGTTAATCATTTCTAGAAGCAGGTGTTCTAAGGCGACCATGTCTATTAATCATCAATTTATAGAGAAAGATGCCTTAGAACATTTGTATCTGTTAATCGGTTAACAGGGCATTCTATGGGCGTCCATATTGGGAGGTTTCAAGTAGGTCCTATACTTTTTGGACTTGGCTCCAAACATTGTGACACCACTCCTACATAGAACCCACCCCCATACATGGAGCCTGATCCTTTACTTTGAATCAAAGAAAACACTTCTTCCTCTTCCACTGCTCTCTCTCTCTCACCTTCGTTCATCCTCGATGTGATGAACCTTGGACTCGCCGTGGGGTGGGGGGAGGTGATCACCATGGGAGGGAGAGAGAAGGGGCCAACCTCAGCCCTAGGCACGCGACGTAGTGAGAGGTCGCCCCCAAATGCAAGGCTTGCATGAGATCTCGATCCTCGGGTGTATAGGGGAGCAGAGGAACCACGGGGGCACTGTCAGGAAGAAAGAAGGGGGCATGGCCTAGGCGAGCTCACCTGTGGGCACAGTGGGATGTGGCTCGTCAACAAAGAGAAGCGAGCGACTGTGGTGAGACCAGTGGCACATGGGAGCTCACCCCAAGCACACGGCATGAGCAAGGTCGCTCCCATGTTGGCAGATCTTGTTGCCAGCAAGGCTTGTGTCAGGCGGGGCTTGTCGCCAACGATGGCAAGGGCCAGGAGGGAGGCGCTCTTGTGAGGATGCAGCGCCCGGAGTTGAGGAAGATGGAGCTCATGGCGATGATGCAATGGCAAGGGACGAGGAAGAAAGCTTGTGGTGGCTAGGGCCGACTCGATTGTGCAAGATTGTTGCGTTGCGGTGGCAAAGGCTAAAGGCCATGAGCTTTGGCAGTGCGAGTACAAGAGACGATGAGCAGTGGAGAAGAAGGAAGGGCATGCGATGTGGATGGGGATGAGCTAATTTGTTATTCTGTGGGTCCCTTGTAGAGACTCAAGGGGGTGATTCTATACATTGGGTACAATTTTACAGTCATGTCACATCATTATATAGAACTAGGGGCAGTTCTATACATTGGAGATGCCCTAAGATGCTCGTTTCTATAAATAGATATTTTCATAGATGGACCTTTCAGAATGGCATCTCTATAAATCAATTAACAAAGGCGACACTCCTACCTAGTTGTCTCAGAAACAACCCATACCTTTTTCATATGAAATCGAAGATTGAAGATGAATCTTATAATAGAATTGTTGAGCTCCGCGATCTTCAACTTTGTAGCTGACATTTTTTATTTGAAATTGTTCATAGTCCAATATATATTTTAAATTCTTGGATTTTATAATTTAAAATTTATAATTTTTAAATGACCTTGGATGTTAACATAGTCTACATAAAAGTTGTAGTTATCAATGTTATCTATAACTTTGTAGTTGACGATTTGTTTGAAATTGTTTAGAGCTCAATTATGTGTCTAAAATTCTCAAATTTTAGAATTTAAATTTAAGAATTTTCAAACAACCTGAAATGTTTGAAATGATCGCGGATACCAAAGTTGTAGCGATCTTGGAGGGAGTATTTCGCAGAAAATTCTTTTTGCTATAATAACGTCACATTTTGCTGGATCAAGGCACAAGCTAGTTACATTTGTGTCTGTATTGAAGCAAATGGCCGATAACCATATGCTATTTCTCAGAAAATGCCTTTTGCTATAACAACGTCACATTTTGCTCGATCTAAGGCGCAAGCTAGTTACATGTGTGGCTGTATTGAAGCAGAGGCCATGCATAGTCGAGGCACGTATAGTTTGACTTGAATACTTGATTGTTGGATGTAATGGCGTTTTAACAGGTGTGCATCAGTTATTGACTTTTAACCGACGGATGGTCGCCCCTTCATCGCCAACCGCCCGTCCGGTCCAACCTCGTGACCATCCGTCAAACTTTATCGCCCATTTGCCGTCTTCCCACATGCATGGCTCCATGCCACCCGGCGCCTGCAATAATCTACCCGGCGTCCAAGGTACTGTTTGGTTAAAGTCGTTTTGGATCTGGCATGGCTTGTGTCAATTAAGTCTGAACAGTCAAAACTTAGGGTATGTTTGGATTTTCTTATCTGAACTTTAGACAGGGGCAGAGCTATAGGGTGCTGTGGACCACCCTTTGGCCCAAAATCTAGTACCTCTCGGTATTCGGTCGAACTCTGCTGGGCGGGCCTATGTGCTTCTGCTGCCGGATCCCGATTGAGCCTGAGCAACGAAGTCCAAGCAACGTCCGCGTCTCCGCGACCTGCACGTCTTGTGAGTTCTGACTTCAACCGTCCAAAGTCGTACTCGATCTATATTTGCAGCAGCAGAGCAGCCGCCGCCCGCCGTCTGGCCAGACGTCGGAGTCAGAGGCAAGGCTAGCAAGTAGCAACGCACAACCTGTACGTTGATATTGAATCTTGATATCCATTCTTCTTTACTCGAGTTCTATCACGTTTCTCTCTCTGTGTATCAAGTGATTAAGCCCTAAACTGCTAAAGTGCTAACCGGAGATAATCGACAATCTACAATTCAACTTCAATTCAATTCACGGCAAGTATTGCATCTGCTATAGTGCTACGGCCAATGGTGCCCCGTACGTAGAAATAATTTAATTTCTATTTCATCTCAATTTTAAAATTTTATTGTAGCACTAAAATAATTTAAATATTTAATTGAAACATTGGGCTTGCTTATTTCTCTTACAGATTTGTTGAAAATGAAGAGGAGTGGTGATATCGCCTCTCTTTTTCAGAAATATGAATCAAAGAAGAAGGCTTCTTCTCCATCTCCTTCCATAGCTGCAGCTGTTCCAGAAAAGGAAATTGAAGAAGAAGATGGACCGGATGAAGATAGAGTGATTGAAGAAAATGTGGCTCCAACTCGAGTGCCTCCAACTCCAAGTCCACCAGTTTATGATATTAGTCGACTTCCACTTGATCCAGGGGAAAGACAGCCCATTACAAATTATCATGTCAATGATTAAGATGCAGTTTGATGATTTTATATCATTAAAGGCCCATACCAACCTTATGCTCATGAATTTGAAAGTAGAAAAATTGGACATAGGGATCGGCAATTCAATGTTCACTGTTTTGCACATCAACTCCAATTGGTTCTTGTTGCTGTTGCCAAAGACAATGATGATTGTGTGTGTTTTTTGATCGAGTATCCCTCTTGCTAAATATTGTTGGTAGTTCTTGTAAGTGTCATGGCATGCTTCGACATCACCAATATGCCAATGTCATGAAAGCACTTGAGTGTGGTATACTAGAATCTGGAAGTGGGTTAAATCAAGAGATGGGGCTGCCTAGACCTGGTGACACTCGGTGGGGCTCTCATTATAAAACTGTGGTCAACATGATTGCTATGTATCCCACAATTCATGATGTACTCATAGCTCTTGGACAAGATACTTCACAAAGGGGTGAATGGCCAAAAATACATATTATGGTTGGAGTGTTTGAGTCATTTGATTTCATTTTCAGTGCTCATTTGATGCTTGACATTCTTGGACATACAATTGAATTGTCTGAGTGTTTGCAAAGAAAAGACCAAGATATCCTTAATGCAATGTCACTTGTTCGTTTGGCAAAGAGTAAAATGCAGCAAATGAGGTCTGAAGGGTGGGTTTCATTTCTTCAAAGGGTTACAATATTTTGCAACAAATATGGCATTCAAGTTCCTGGAATGGAACATAATTATGTGCCATATGGAAGATCAGCACGTTTTGCTCAGGACCAAACAAATGATGATCACTTCAGAAGAGAAGTATATATTGGAGTCATTGATAAAATTAGTCAAGAGCTTGACAGTCGGTTTGATGAGGTAAATATGGAGTTGCTTACTTGTATGGCTGCCTTGAATCCAGCAGATTCATTCGCTTCTTTTGATGCAAACAAGGTACATAGACTTGCAAAATTTTACCCTAATGATTTTTCAAGCTCTGACTTGCTAAGACTCGATCTGCAACTTGAAACTTTTATTGATGACATGAGGAAAGATGAAATGTTCAAAGGCCTAAACAATCTTGTTGACCTCTCAGTAAAACTTGTTGAAACAAAGAGGGTTAAAGTTTATCAT